ACCCCACAGCGTTGCCTTTACTACACTTTGAAAAGCAGAGAAGTAATTCTGACAGGAAGATGCCCCTAAGGGAAGCAGCAGGTTTATTGGAATATGCCTGAAGAACATACACCCGACTTTACACTGAATTTTTCACTCAAGCATTTAAAGAAACCTCACCACCTAGAGGCAATGTGCCATTCTGCCTCTTGCAAAATCACTACTGAAGGATGAATTTGGGTAAGGGTAGGAACAGTCACTTAAATCAAATCGTGGCAAGTATCAGCCTCAGTTCAGAGATCTCGTGCGCAGTTTTCAGAGTCAAGACAATGTGTTGCTAACACGAGGAAAGAGCAGCCCACACTGAGAAGGAAGAAATACATGCATACATAGTTAATTGTAATTAAATAGATGATACCATGAGATTCCAGTTATGTATGTATAACAAATATCTTACACCTGGGGGAAGGTTTTCCAGACAAAAGTATATTCAGAGGGAGGTAAAAGACTGAGCAGCTGGTACAGGTGAGAAAACCCTGGAGGGTGAAGCTCAGAGGCAGATCAGACTGGAGCTGCCATGGGATATGGCTGGAAAACACAAGCACGCCCTCCCCTCTGCTTGCCTCCTCTGCGTGGCAGCTGTAGGAACAGCATCCCCCATATAACCAAGAAAAACCAAGTGCGTCTCATTACAATTCCAGCAGAACCTCCTGGTGCAGCTTATGCAAAGATCACATAATTCAACTGATTTAAAAGCTCGGGGAAAAGGTACCTCAGGAATATCAGCTATGAAAGGAAATTAAGTGACGGGAAACCACCAAAGCGAGACGCAGCAATGTGAGCACGGTTCTGTCCTTGCCCTCATTGAGTAATGTGCCCCCGAAGGAAGTTATTCAACATGTGCATTTTATTGCAAAAACTGAAATGCAACGGTCAGGTGGGTCCTTCAGGACACAGCAGCTTTCTTCAAACATGAGCTGAACAAATGATCCTCATGGCTGTGATCACTGGGATGGACGCCTGCAGACCACAGGTCCTCTGGTGGGCTGTGCCAGCAAGCTGGAAGTGCAAAAGCTAAAGCATTGAGCTTAAGGTGATAAACCACATGGACTGCTGGCAGCAGAAGGAGCAATCAGGCTTCACTTGTTGTCATTTTGCAGAAAGTTTAAGCCACTTCAGCTGAAACAGAGCAACTCCCAACTCCTGCCAGTGCAAAGCAAAACAGGCTTCCTACAAACACCGTTGAGCAAATGCAAGTATTTTAGTGCTGCAGCAAAAACTTGGGCTCACCTATTTCAGGTTTATGAAAAGGTCCAAGAAATGCCAACAGGTCGTTTTTCTAAATCCTCTGCTCCTTCCACCTTCCTCAGAGAAAGGCAGGCCTGCCGGAGCCACCACACCACCAGCAGTAGTGGCCTGGGGGAGGAACAACAGAGTAAGCACAGGCCTGGCAGATTTTACAGGTGGAGAAGGAGCAGCAGACAAAACAATCAACCCTGGACTCCTGCAGTCTTCACCAGACCTAACTTCTTTTCCTCATGTCAAGCACAGATCCTTTTCAGGTCTGTGCTCTCTCCTTCCCAACAAGCCACCTTCAATGTCTAGGACGTTCAGCTTCCCATTTGTTCACTGAGGGCAAGGCCTTCTCAGGTATCTAAAATACAAGTACAGCAGAGGGACACAAGAGATGAGAGGCAGAAACGCATCATATGAACTGGCAGGGGTGAAGAGGGGCCACGCTGCTTTCCCAAACCTCTGTTGTGAAATGCCCGGGCAGGAATCCCCTGATGATCTTGCCAACGAGTTGCCAAAATAAAAAGTCAGAAGTCCCTGATGTGCCAGTTATGAGACAACACAGGTGGTGTACGCTTGGGCTAGTTCCCACAAACCTGCGCAGCCTGTAAGACATGAGCAGCAGAGCATGTAAAATGCTCACGGCCTCACGTGTGCACGCATACGGCAGCTGCAGCAGGCGCTTCGTACAGAGCGCAGCCTACGCCGGCGCAGCAGAGGAGGAATGGGCACAGATACACCTTACTTAGGAACACTCACACGCTGCGTTAAGTAGCGTGGTAATTAAATCGTTAGTCACATTGACAAGTGGGTGGAAGGGGCTGGAAACGTCTGATGCAGTTTGCTGCAGGCGATTATAGATTTAGCAGCGATGCATCTGTCACACGCAAAGATGGGCTCAGCCCCAAGTATCTGCAACAGCTCAACTTTAGCCCATTTCCCAGAAGTAAAATGGAACGAAGACACCAGCTCCGCATCAGCGGTGCTGTGAAACAGCCCAGACTCACCGCCAACCTACCGCGTGAGAACAGCTGCACGATTTCACATACTCAAATACTCATCTGGGCAGGAATTTGCAGAGGCTAATCCTTATCCAAAGATCTGGGAATTTCCCTTCTTGAAACTCTCCCTGATAACAGTACCTAGTTATGTAGCGCTGATGCGTCCCCAGTCCTGTTACGTGGCATCTCTCTCTCGGCCACTGCGTGACAAAAGGCTCACAGCTGGGTAAATCCCAAACCACTCTCTTCAGTATCTGCCACATAGGACCAGCTCATCTTTGCCACAATTTATTTTTTCCCTCTAAAGCACAAAACTGAAAGTAATTTGTCTTAATGAACTAAACTTTACATGGGAGCCAATGGTGAAAACCAGTATCTTGTACTCTAGGGCACCAGGCCCGTCTCACTTATCAGCCTCAAAATTCCTCCATGTAGAGGGATATAATTAGGAAGGGATGGGAAGAAAGGCAACAAATGGTAACCTGTATTGGAGACACCTCGCTCGCTGTGCGGTGCTGGTCCCACTCCACAGGGAAGCCCATGCAGCCGGTGCCTTTTCTGAGTCCAGGATTCTCAAATCCTTTAGAAATTAACTGTTGCTAGAGAAACCCAAAAGCTTGCAGGGGGCCGTGTACTCACTGCTTCCTGCGACAGGTCAGCTGGCAGGCAACAGCAGTCTGCAGGAACACGCGCAGAGGACAAGACTCACATGGACAACTCAGGCAGGTTGTTTTTCCCCAAAGAAATTTTATTTGAGAAAGTTGACAAAAATCCCCCAACCAGTCATTACAGGTAAGTCCAGACCAGTCCCCCACACCTGGCTCCCCAGTAACCACAGCAGTACAGCGAAGATTAAAACACAACATCAGGGCGATGATAGTAACAGTCACCTGGGGAACTTAAGGCCTCACCACCATGTTTAAGATAAAGATATCTTTGTACTCAGGTAAGGACGGGGAGCGGGCATCAAAACAGACAAGACTGGAAAAGCCCCTTTGTTGTACTCTTTTCAAGTTGTATAAAAACAAAACCAAAACCTTAAAGATCCAGGCTTCAAACTGTAGGACCTAAAAGCACCTTCAACTGACTTCTGCAATTCAGTCCTGTGGCATCACTGCTGTTCTGCACTCTAACAGCTTTCGAAAACGTGCAGGGATAAAAGAGATGCAAGGGCAGAGGAGTGGACTTGGGCTCTTAATATGGCTTTATCAAAACAGAAGAATTAAAAGCAATCTAAGCACTTGCCCATGGAACAAACAACTCCAGGAACCTGACAATGCAAAGGGGAGACAAAGTACTGATGTATTTTGATGACAGGAGGTCATCTTTTCATCCTCTTTCCCATTGCCTCACCCTGGATAACCATTTTCTTCTCAGCAATAGATCAGATTCAGGTCAGAAATTATAAAACTATGGTTTTTTTCCAAAATGGCAGGCCAGGCCCAGGGCTATGGGAACCCTTTCCCTAGCCCTAGAAGTGCCTAGGCACACGACACCAGAATGCTGTGCTGC